GAACCCGATCGTCTTGACTTTGCCATTTTGATCTCTCCTTTCATGGAGCCGATCATATTCTATGATGGCCAGCTGTTCTTTTTTTACTCCACTTACCCCCCTCTGTTTCTTATCAGGTACTGTTACAGATGCCTATCTTTCTAATGGTGCCTTTGAAGATTCAACCCCCTCTGCCTTTAGGATTTCGGGATGATGCAAGTCATTGATTTTTTTTTTTTTTTAATTTTTTTTTCTCCTTCTCTCTTTTGAGAGCCTTTTATTGCATCTTTAGCTGGTGCGTGTTTACCCAAAGACTATCAATAGCGTCCTGGTGCGATCAAAACATTTAGGTCGATAGGAGGGTTAATAAGCAGTTTTTGAACCATACCTTTCCACCTCGCTGTCCGGCAGGTGAGCAGCTGCACTGGAACCAGAATATGGCTGGAGGAGCGACTTCCTCCTCTCGCAGCTTCTCCTTCTCCTCCCCCGCCCGTCCCGCCTTCCAATCCTCTATCCTCTTTTCCCCAGCACAAAGCTGCTCAGTTGTTCATGAATGTCAGCTCAGTGCTGGCAGCACTCTCTATCTTTCCCTCCCTCTCCCTCTTCACCCGTCCTTAGACTCTCAGCCTCTCTCTTCCTCCCTCACTCCTTATCTCCCTTCCTTAGTTCGCTTAGTGTGCAAAGGAAGAACGACTGCAAATGAGTTCCTTGAACCACAGGGACCCCAATAAATAAAACTGTCAGCCAGAGATGTCGAAAGGGAAGAAAAAAAAAAAAAGAAGGAAGGAGCCAGAGGCACACTCTCACTGAATATTTCATCACCCACCACCACCACCACTACTACTCTGACACCTTACCCTCATTGCCAGCATCCCCATCCCCCCTTACCATCCTTGTTCCCTCCTTTTTTCATGCCATCCCCCCCCTTCTCCTTCTCCTCCATCTTGTCTCCACCCCTCCTCACCCAGCTGCCCCTTATCATATTCTCTCCCATTACTGCATAGCAACCAAAGTATCATACAAACCCCACCTCCTGGACACCCAACAACTAAAACAAAATGGCTGAGAGCACTGTTTCTGGGGTCACTTGTTAGAGAGGTGGGTCTGACGGCTACTAGATGGAAGAGCCATTTTTCAGTACCTGTATATTGCTAAATAAGCTTATCCGTGCAGTTTTTGGTGAGTATATCAACTATGTTTGCGGTCAGGAGATGCACGCCTTATTTGTTAGGCATGAACTCCTCATACTGCTGCTTCAATATAATGAAAACACTGGAGTGCTGGTTTCTTTCTGTCTGCCTTGACAAAACCCGGGGTCTCCGTTCTCCTTGTCCTATGACTCTCCTTCATAAGTTGCTTTCATAAAGGACTGGAATTTGTACAGCGTCCTTCAAAGACCAAGGTGGAAATAGAATTGGAGGTCTGTTGCAGACTTAAAGACAAGCTATGAAGCGCTTTTTTGTTTGCCTGTGATGTTCCACAAAGCGCTATCTGGTGTTTGTACTGACGTCAATGGTAGCCAGCCACGTTGGCTGTCTTGACTGTGCTCCTTAGAGCAGACAGGCATGTTTGGACTGGAGCTGAGCTTCTAGCCGAGACCTCTGGGATTGATTTGCTAGCCAGCTTTCTAGCAAGACAGTGCCCCTTTTCCTTTTCACCCCCCATCACACATACATACATACATACATACATACATACATATACATATATATATATGCATATATATATAATATTATCTATATATTATATATATATAATATTATATATATATAATAATTTATTCTACTCATACTACCCATATAATATATATATTAATAATTATATTATATATATATGTATATATATATATATATATATATATGCGCGCGCTCTCTCTAACGCTCTCCCCTCCCCTTGTTTCTCTCATAGTCTCTGTCCGTCTGGAAAAGGCTTGTTGTTACATGATCACTCTCGCCAATCTAGCCTCTGGCAGGCAGGGCGCACTGTATCATCCTCCGCCTCCTCCCTTCCCTTAGGAAACGGGCCCTATTTCAGGTGTTCCACTCCACAGCTCCCGGCTCCCAGCTACACAAGCTGTTCGCCCTCCTTTTCGGGAATTGTCAGGGAGACGGCGCGTCAGATGAAAGTGATGTAGCCGTTTGGTTTGGACGAGTGGAATTCCACACCTGAACGTTTAATTTGGGTCTTTCTCAAAGCAAACCACAAATATATGAGAGTGTCCGATGGAATTATAGTAGTTGAGATGTCCTCTGTCATTTTCCCTGCAAATGAGATGTCTGTGTTTGTGTGGGTTTGTGGCCTTTTAATTTCTTGCCTAAAAGAAGAGGTTCTGGTGGGTGGTGTATGTATGGAGACCCCATATGAGTCACATGGTCACACACATTTTTAGCTCTCATATACATGTGAAGGTTTGTGTGAGCAACTTCTAAATTGACTTTATGAGTCAACGACTGAGACTCTGAGACCTGGAGTGACAAAAATCAACTGGAGGCGGGAAAGAAGGAAAAAAAGGTGTGAGGAAGCGAGCTTGCTTCTTTCGCAGGCTAATTTAAAACCTGCTATGTGGTGTTGGGAAGTAGGAGTACATGAATTCTGTCTTGTGGTTTTGAATAATCCACCCCAGTCATTATAAAGGTAATCAAGCCTCCTCTCTGTTTGTCTTGCTGTCATCACAGTTGGTCTTTTTCTCTCACTTTTTCTTGCATGTGCTTGTATACAAAGAAAAACAGTGATAAAGCAAAGATCCTGTTCATACTTGGCTCTTGGCGTCTTGGATGTTCCTTTCTTGGAAAGAAATAGAAGTACAGCTTTGCAGTCTCCTTTGGTTTCATGCAAATTTTGACCCTATGACATTCACTCTGACCAGCTGTGGAGGTACCCAGAAGTCATGGTGGTCGTTCCCTCCCCCTCCATGTCACAGCGTAAATTTGAGCAACATGTATCCGTTTAGCAGCAGTTGCATTTTCTCTGCAGATAAAATCAGATCTGTGCAGGGAGGTAAAAACTGATCTCACATGGTTCCTGGAAACAGGATTCTGACGCAAAGTGTGAAATGTAACCTGTTTGAACTGGACGTCGACTCAGCCCGAATATATTTGGATCTAGGATCAGAGGTCTATAACGGATACCCACAGGGGTGTCCCCCCTCCCCACCTTCTAAACATTGGGTTGACGATCTCCCTTGGGGCTTTCGATTTGTATGCATGCCGCTCTGTGTGTTGTGGGTTGACAAACTGTCGACACTTACTCTTGACAGCTGTCAGTCACAGACACAGTCATTGTCTCCTCCCCCTCCTCTGGTCTTTTCTTCATCTCTGTCTCTCCCCCCACCCACCTTTTGGAGCAGGCCTCCCCATTAGGTCTCAAACACATGCACACCTCTTCTCCTGACCTTTTATGTACGGAGTTTCCTAGCGATGTCACATGTAGCCCCCTGCGCTCTTCTCCTCCTCACTTCACACCCCACCTCGCGCCTGCTGAGTGTATCGCCTCACCACGTTGGGGTAATCGTGGTGAGTGTGGATTGTCAATAAATCATTAGTGGCTGACTTTACATTCTGAGAAGTTTGAGTTTCTCTTTATCCAGCAGCGTATTTTATTCCGATTTTTGCTCTAGCCATCAGATCATCCCAACCCCTTAGTTCTTTCACCTGCCCCTCCTCTCCCTTCATCCTTTTTTTCCACATCATGTCAATACCAATGTCCAAAGGTCACCCTGGCAACAGAGAGGCAGCGGTCGATAGAGAAATAAATAAGCAGAAGAAAAGAGAGAGATGTGATGGAGGGCAGAGCCTGGTGATTCAGAGGGTTAACTACAGGCGAGCATCTTACAAGGACACTCCAAATATAAGCCCTTTGCTCAGAAATTTTTTTTTCTTTTTATATATTATTTTCTGTGCTTTGTTATTTAAATACATCTATCCCTGTGCTCTGTTCTGCTTTTCTGTCCTCCTTCTCTCTCTGGGGACTAAAATCACACATGCGGTAGTGATTGTTGAAATCTTTTTGGACAGGAGCGCCACTTTGTATTTGCTAGTGCTGGCCATTTCTGCTTGTTTCCATTTAGGGAGAACCTGAGTCATTATTGCTGAGTCTTCAAGACCCACTGAAGCTTTGTGACTCCTGAATCACACTCACTTGGGGGGAAAAAAAAAGTAAATAAATACATGTCAGACTCTCGTTGCTTGGACTTCAGCAGCAAGTCACAATACACAGCATGAGAGCCACAGGCATACAGGAGGATGACAAGAGAGGTTTTGTTATTTAGCACGAATATTCCAGCCGAGTCGTGACAACTCTGTACTTGTTAGTGTGTGTGTGTGTGTGTGTGTGTGTGTGGTTCCATCCAGGCCTTGGGTGGGTCACTGAAGGCCCCCGACCCTTGGCTCCAGTTAGCTGTTGCCAGTGCTCCAAACATGGGCATCCTTTCCTGATCTGCTGCAGATTCACAGACAATTGACTATTCTGTGTTTGAGATGCAGGCGGGGTGGATTTCCTAAACGTGGGACTGATTTTTCAGGCCATGGGCCAAACAGAAGGATGGCCTTTGTCTTTGAGCTGAATAACCCTGCTGACTAAGAACGGACTGAGTGGCAATGGGAAGCAAGGAATAGTGGGTTCTATTTGTGTGTATGTGTGCGTTTTCCAGTAGGCCTCCCTATCCATTCCCCGCCAACAGAAGTAAATAGATGACTATTACAGACTAGTGTTTGACTGCACGATGAGCTTATGTGGTGTGTCTGTGTCTCTGTGAGAGGGGTAGCTCAAAGAGCTGTTGTGTGCACTGTAACTGGCATCCATGGCCCAGATTGTTCATTTACTAAGAAGGAAGTCTGTATGCATGGGGAGCCTTTCTAGTTCCATAGTTTTTTACAGTTGTAAATGCCAGAGTGGCATTAAATCTGGATATAGAGCATCATATATTAAGTTAGACTTTGTCATCTGGCTAAGCTGTGTTGATACCTTGCATAAAAGCAAAGACATTGAATCACTTAACCCTTTTCCCCTTTCTTTATCAATAGGTCAGTGACTTCCTGTCTGGTCGCTCTCCCCTCACCTTGGCGCTGCGTGTAGGTGATCACATGATGTTTGTCCAGCTCCAGCTGGCAGCGCAGCAGTCCGGTGGTCCCCAACTCCAGCACAGGCACCTCATCACCCGGGGAAATTCGGAGGGACAGCCCCGGGTTCCCCACACTCACCCGCACTCTCATCAACACCCCCAGCATCCACATAATCACCCCAGCCCCCACTTGTCCCATCCTCACCCTATCCCCTCGTCCCCTTCTTCCCCAGGATCCCCTTCTTTTCCCCTGCCCTCCACACACCTCCAGTCCCTTCCTCCCATGTACCACCAGTCGCCCTCCTCTGCTCACTGTAGCCCCCCTACTCCTCCACCACACTCCCCTCGCCCATCCCATGTCCCTGGGGGTCTTTTCCGCTCGCCCGCTCATCATCACCACCACCCCCACCACCACCATCATCACCACTACCACCAGCCTTCCTCAGGCCAACCCAGCCACGAGATCGGCCAGGTCAGCCCTGTAGCCCCAGTCCTCTGCCCTGAGGTAAGCCTCAAGAAAATATTCTTATAATTCTTCCTAAGTAGTGTTTTGTTTTTTTTCTTTAATAATAGCCAATCACAGCATAGGATTGGTAAGATATTGTCTTATATTATTTTCTCAAATAAAAGGGTTCAGTGGTAAAAGTAGGTACATCTTTACAATACATAAGAAAGACACAGGCACTTGGGCTGCCATGAGAACGATAGAGTGGATGGGTTATGACCATTTGACCCAAGTGCCATCCTCACAACTAAATCATTCTCCATTAAATCAATTAGATTAATGGGACATCCTTGTAGCACGAGGGTGAACCCGTGGTTTAGTCAGCTCTGGAGAAGCGTTGCACGTGATTTTGCGTGTGTGTGTGTGTCCAAACCACAGTACATTTGTTCATCACTGGAGTACACTGTGCTCCCCAAATGCATGCAAACAAGCCAGCACATGCGTACACCATGAGAACACAGCATTCATATGACCTCAGTCTTCCCAGGGTAAAGAGCAGTGGGCTAAAATTATAGGAGCAAAAGTGTTCTGGTGTTGTCATTTAACTTTCAGCGTTATGCTCATTTGTTTACCTTAGGATAACTTCATGAACAGCTGCACACACACGCAGAAACACACTTACTTCTGTTCTTCAACCCAATGTGCTGTTTATATTTTCTGTACCTCCTTGAATAGTGAATGGTAACCAAATATCAGCGAACTGTGTGGGAGAGATGGTTCACTACAGGAAAAACAAGGAGACAGGCCAGTTTAGTAGTGAGAAAACGGATATGGCTATTCCTCATCAGGCTTTCACATGCATGACAAAAAGACACATGCATACACACACAACGCGTTTTCTTGGGGTTTCAGTTTCGCTTTCAGATGTCAGTTGAGCAATCCATGTTAAGCCAAAGTGAAGTTGTGAGGTGACCATCTTTAGTTTGATCACAGTAAAGTAACCAAATACCTTAAGTCTTAAGCTATATGGCATGGCAGCAAGCTTAAATTTCCTGTTGTCTGAGGTTTCTTATAACCATCAGCCTTAACTGCAGAGGTTAATTACACTGTGCAAATGGTAGTTACACCCAGAGGTAAAGGGTAAAGGTCACTGAGGGAGCTCCTGAAACAGTGATTTTGAGTTTTCACAGCTTTTACTGTAATAGATCATATGCCCTTGTATCCTCAAACATGCTTTGGTCTCACTTTATGCTCTTTTAATAACACTTTTCTTTCCCCCCCTTCAGGCTAACTGCAGTACCAACAGCTCCAACAGTGGCACCAGTTCCTCGCCACGCTCCCGTAAACCCGGCGCCATCATTGAAAGCTTTGTCAACCATGCTCCCGGAGTCTTCTCAGGGACTTTTTCAGGTAAGAAAACAGAGCTGCCATTACTGACTTATGACTTATTGCTACTTTAAGCATCAACTGTGCACATAGTGAGATCCAGTTCTAAGATGCCTCTAAGTAGAACTTGACAAAATTTAACATTTTCTTCTCTGTTGGGCCTTTGTTTTAGACTTGTACGCATGCCAGTTTTAAATGTTTTAATTTTTTTTTTTTTAAAAATCAAATGATATACAAACATTATACAAACAAATATAACACGCAACCATTATAATACTATTTTGGTCTGTTTTGCTTACTCTCACAGGCACTTTGCACCCAAACTGCCAGGACAGCAATGGGCGTCCCAGACGGGATATTGGGACCATCTTGCAAATCCTCAATGACCTCCTGAGCGCCACACGCCACTACCAGGGCATGCCCCCCTCCCTCACCCAGCTCCGCTACCAGACGCAGTGTGGTTCGCCCACTTCCCCATCCCCCTCGCCGCCTCCCTCCCCTCCAGTTGCTGGCATGACGGGCCTCTCTGCCAAAGCTACCTCTGTGCCCGCCAGCAGCCCTCCTCCAGCTCTGCATCCACTTGTGCAGTGCGAGAGCCAGATTCGCATGTGCAAACCCCCTGGTGAGTGACTCCACTCCACTCCCCTTCTGCACATGCAAACATGTCATGAGCACAAACAAAAACACCCCCTCACACATTAAGTCATTGTGCATCCCTTGAAGCCCTTATGAAGCAGATGTTCCTGCAGTTGCCACAGCTTTGGAGGTGTGTGTGTGTGTGTGTGTGTGTGTGTGTGTGTGTGTGTGTGTGTGTGTGTGTGTGTGTGTGTGTGTGTG